GACGTGTTCTGCGCTTGACTTGAACAGTGTATTTTAGTTCCCCAAAATAGCAACGCGCCAACAATATGCCTTAACACACCTCTTTTCAAGACCAGAACACCCATGAGTCCACAAAGTGGCGCAAATAAATTTGCTATTTAAACAATGTGACAGAAGATGGGAAAATTAATGTTGCGTTGGTCTGAAAATAGCAACGCCTTGGAAACACGTCTTGCGCCTTATTGTGCCCGGGTGTATGATGGGGCCATTGAAACAAACTCCGCTTGGTCTCAGCTAAAACAACAACAGTGTATAATGGTTGAAGTATAGCCATTTTTCATGGGCAGCCAATGAAACCGTAGGCTGTATTATGCAAATTGTAACAAAATTAAATACATTGGTAATGTAAGAAATGCTGGAATTACCAATTTTTTTTTTTTTTTTTTTTCGGCAGTTCTGAAGCGGTTCTTCATTTTAGGAGACAGTAGTTTGGTTTAACATGCATTTAATCTTTGCAGACCTTTTAAATATGCAGTTAGCTTTATTACTCATATTACAAATATACTTTCATTTATGTTTACCTTTATTTATGTTTTTATTTATGCACAGAAAACTCTGCATAACTTAAATTTAATATATTACTTATAATATTGCAAGACAAATTGTCAACCTGAAATAAAACAACTGATTCTGTTGAAAAGTTTGCATGCCCTTTTGATTTGTAATATGATTTGTAGCATTTATGGGATATTTATTTTGTTTTTTTATATTGTTTAAAATACTTTGCATATTATATTAACATGTGATGCAATATAAAAGTATAAAAATGTATTTCTTTCTTTCTTTCTTTTCTTTGTCTTTACCGATAGTAGTATATTCTTGTTATTTTTTATTTTACTTTTTCTAGACATGAATTACGAAGAGGCATAAAAGTCCCACAAGCACACAAGTTTTGATTAGAAAGTTTGATAACGAGTTATCAAGATGAAGAACAATTGCTTTCCTAAATACTTGAGTGCTTCTAATGAAACCGAGGTTGATGAGGATTGTAATTTAACACAAAAGGTAATAAATGACTGCTTTAAATCTAATTCATGCTTGAATACCACTCCTTCAGCCATCATCAATTTAGCTCGGGCATTAAGCTCCCAACAACTCTTAATTAGAACGAAGACATTTCTGGGAGATTAGCTTTCTCTGAGCCTGCTGAGTCTGACAAACCCTGTTTGTAGCACAGCGAGAGGAAGATAAAGAGCCCAAAAACCACTTATACTTCTGCTCAATGTTTGTTCTGAGAATTGTGTATCTATGAATGGTTATGATCAGTCCTGGGTCTGTGATCATGAAATCAAATAGAGAGTGTTTCATTCTCAAACTGCTTGGGAATGGCATTGCAGCTTTTTTGTATTTAAAAACAGTATTAAATATGCATTTTTAATAATGCAGCATAAACACGGTGGAAAAATGATGGTTCAGCTTTTTTTTTTTTCCCGGGAAAAGGGCTGTATAATCAATTAAAATTTTGCTGTACACAGTAGGTTGCTTTATTTGTAGACTAAAAAGGTTTCTAAAGTTAAAGTTTCTCCAAGTTAGTTGCTCTTTACAATGCATTGATTTTTCCTTTGAAGTATACTGTTAAACAAAAAGTTTAATAGTTTACTTGCAGTGTGACACAATTGGACAGTGTTTCAGCTTGGTCTGCTTTCTTTCATAGTTTAAATGCTTGAAGAAAGCCACAAAAGACAATCTACTATCTATTTACCAACTTAAAACATGATTGTTATGCAACATTTTGGAGAAAGGTTCATATATTGCAAATTCATTTATTCATCATTTTCCTTCGGCTTAGTCCTGTATTTATCAGGGTTTGCCACAGCGAAATGAACCGCCAACTCATCCATCAAATGGTTTACACAATGGATGCCCTTCCTAAATTGCAAATTTTGATCAGAATAATGGTTGCCATCAACTCTCGTTTCATTTGCTTGTTTCATTTGCTTTCTTTCGTGTTCAATTTTAGGCCATGTAACATAGGTTTGTTCATTTAATAGTAATCTTCACACTGAGTGCACCTATGAAAGTGATAAAGGGCCTGATGAAGTTAATGGGAAGGGTCACAACGAAATCAAAACACACTGTATTGTTAATACCAGATGGAAACAGTAATGCATCTCGACAGACTGATTGGCCCACAGAAATTATTGTTAATACCAGGATTGGGTGCTGAAATGGTATCTTTATAATCGGTGTGTGCTTAGTCCAAATTAGAACACAGAAATCAGTGCTTTATTTAAAGAGGCTTGAATACCTGAGCTGTTGATTGATATCTGATGCGTGGGTGAAACTTGGGTGTTTCTTTACATGAAAAATTGAATAGTCTGCATTTTAAAATTCACTATATAGAGGATCTGTACAGCAACCTGTGGCTTCTTTTTCCTGGAGGGCAGTTGTCCTGCAGATTTTAGCTCCAACCCTAATCAAACACACCTAAATGAGCTAATCAAGGTCTCTCTAGGTATACTTGAAACACTCAGGCGGGTGTGTTGAGGCAAGTTGCTGCTAAATCCTGCAGGGACACCGGCCCTTTAGAGCCGAGATTGGTGACCCCTGATCTAAACACACCCTAAGTAATGTATTTCAGATTAACAGAAATGTACACAACACTCTCAAGTAGATTTGTCATCTTTAATGTGCAACAAAACGTAGTTGGAGCAATGTATTTTTTGTTTTGCAAAAATGTAGGCTGAGACTTGTGTTTCCACTGAGCCTAAGGGTGCTTTCACACCTGCCTTATTTAGTTCGGTTGAATCGCACTAGAGTTCGTTTTCGTTTGGGCAGGTGTGAATATAGCAATTGTACTCGAGTGAGCACCAAAAAAGTGTACCGAGACCTCCATCAAGAGGTGGTCTCAGTATGCTTTCAAGCAAACCCTGGAGCGGTTAGTTTGTGGTGATAATATGATCTTAACTAGAACAGACCCAACCGCAAAAAGTACTGTGCCTTTTTTTAACTAATTCAGCTGCCGTAGACCAATGTGCTGTGCTTTACGGAATGTGGAGGAAAATATTTGTTAACAGCGCTTTACCAACACAGAGAGAGAGAGATAGAGAGAGAGAGGAAAAAACATTACCTGATGGATCATTGGTAATATTTCCGGAAGATGACCATGTCACAGTTTAGGTTAATTATTTTATACCGCCTCCTGAAATGACTAGTGATGCACCTTTGCTGTTCGCAGTGCATTAAAACATTGTTTTCCAGCCGCAGCTACATTTCATTCTCGAAATGTTTGTTTGTCTAAAGTGATGAATGCAAACTATATATACCATATATACTATATGTATACCATGAGCAGGGATACAATCAGTCAGGGCAGTCATCCCTCCATAGTCAAAAGTGACATTTTGTGTCTGCCAGTTTGTTTACTTGCTGGAGTTCCATTGGCATTTTCTCGCACGTGATTTCTGACCAATCAAAAAGCAGTTTAGAAAATATGTTCAACAACATCTAGCCAATGAGTGATGTGGATTTTATCACATGACTGCATTTTGGTTCTTTTCAACTGGTTCAGACCAAAGTAATCAGTGTGGTGTGAAATTTTTTCAAATATAAAATGTACATTTATTGCCCTTGGTCCGGATTAAATGAAGCGATCTACAAATGTGAAAACACCCTGAGCTAATGAATACAGAACATTTTGCTGTTATTAGTACTGACACTGTTACTTTGTGTGAAATTATTTAGGTTGATTTTAGTTGGATCTTATTGTAAATTTACTGTGTAGAGTTGTTGTTATTTTGTATTTACTTTCTATTTTTAAGAAAAAAGCTGTTTTTAGTCTCCCACCGTCCAAAAACATGCAACTTAAGTAAATTGACTAATCCAAATCGGCACCATTGACATGCTCCTAGTAAGTATTTATCTGCAGTCACTATTTGTTAATCAGCTACTACAGCAGGGGAGTTCTCGAAAACTACCTGAGCTCAAACTCCCCTCTCGCCTTGCAAATGGGAGGTAGCCCCGGGCTCGAGAAACTTATGAGCTCAGGGCTCTCTCTTGTTATGCCAAACAAGCTTTATAATCAATCATCAGCTAAGTGTGAATTCTTGAAATGAAGATATTTTAAAGAAATCTGGAAACAATGACTTTCATAGTATTTGTTTTTCCTACAATGGAAGTCAATAGTTACAGGCTTACAGCTCTCGTCAAACTATGTTGTTTTGATTTTAACAGAAACACATAAAAGTTTGGAACCTTGTGAGCAAGCAGATAGTAAAGAAATTTTTATTTTGCGTGAACTGTCACTTAAAATCTTTCACGAGTACGATCACACCGGTGTGATTTGAACATTTCTTTTATTATAGCCATCAAAAAGGAAGAATCAGTTCAAGCACTATTTAGGCATTAATATTGTTTTAAAAGTATTGATTTGACAATCAATAGTTGTATACTGTAGTTCCAAGTATAAAGTAGTTATTTTAATGTCTCCATTACAGTTTTGAAGTTTATTATTTAATTTAATATCACACTGTATAAAATATTCGTAAATTAGCAGTTTACGGTATTTTGTGAATCATGTTTTTATTTTCACCCGTTTATTTACAGTATCCTTTTGAATTGCATTATGAATTGAATTGCTTTTACTAACATTTTTGATACTTTAAAATGATATATTATCTGGATTGGTGTTGTATATTATGGTACATAGATCTAGTAATAAACTGCCAGTACATTTTCTGTTATTTTACAGACGTATTTCTCTATAAATTTATGTCTTATCCATTATATTATTTTAAACTACTAAAATTTCAATAAGTCACTTTGTTAAATTGTAGAGCTGAATTTTCAGAGATCGGGGTCCCACAGTGCAATTCACAACCATAAATAAACAGAAAACTCTTGCGAATCACAAAACATGGAAACGATTCATTAACAGATCTTTTTTACAATGTCGTTTTACTCATTTACTGATAGTTCCTCTCTGTTATTTAGAAACCGTTTTTGTTTTTGTCTGATTACAGGACATCATATTGGTGATTGTGGCTGTTCTGCTCTTCCTGCTGGGCGTCTATGCGTTTTTCTACCTCAACCTGAGCACAGAGCTGGATCTCGACGTGGACATGGATTGAAGGACTTTTCTCACATTCGCCCTCTCAGAGGATTCTGGGTGTCTGGACCCACTCATGAAGTGCCAGCAGTTTCATAGTATCACACATTTCTCATCTTTGTTCCTTCCATGCCTTTTATACCAGCAAAATGTGCATGAAAGGAAAGAAGACGAGTCTTAAAAGTGCACAGAAGCATGAAGCTACCTTATTTTCGCAGTGTTTATACAGAATAACCTTTTCGATTATTAATAAAGCTCCACATGCCCTGCAGCTTTGAGATTTGAAGAACCAACTCGCTTTCTACTTGAACCTTTTAGTTTATCCAGAAATTTTTTTTTTCTCTCATCTTTAACTCTCTCTCATGCCTTTCGAGATGCTTTCTGCATGAAATATGAAAAGAGCTATTTATAGCAGGATTTCAAGGATGTTGTTTTTGATACAATAAAAACAAGATTTTTATTGAAAAACAACTTCATATATTTTCTACCATCCATGCTTTGAAGATGTGGCAAATCAAGACTAAAGCTCAAATTAATCAATTTATTTTATTATTATTATTATTATTATTTTTGCATGACACATTTACATTATTTTGGAAATATTTTTAATATCTGAAAAAAAATATCTGCATCATGTAACAGAAGAGAGTGTAAATGTCACATTATTTTGATTTTCCTCACTATAAAAACTTAAAGTCAATCTACAGATTGTATTGTATAACCTAAAAAATTGATAGATTTAGTTTTCAAAGGGATAGTTCACTGTCAATTTTATCATTTACTCATCCTTTGCTTGTTCCAAACTTGTTATAATTTCTTCTATTAAACACAATTAAAGATATTTTTAAGAAATCTATAAACATTAACTTTCATAGTATTTGTTTCTCCTACAATGAACGTCAGTGGTTACAGGTTTTTGGCTCTCTTTAAACTATGCTGTTTTGTTTTTAACAGAAACACATACAAGTTTGGAACTACTTGAGCAAGCAAATAGTGGAGACATTTTAATTTTTGGGTGAACTATCCCTTTAACCCTTTTATGAGTATGATCACAACGGTGTGATCAGCTGTGACCGGTCCCTGAAGTGTATGATCACACCAGCGTGATTTGACATTCAGAACGCACATCATCAACTGATAAAAAATTAAATCTGAATGTGTTCGCTAAGGCACAGAAAGAGGTGCGTAGCGCTGGTCATAAATCACAATTTATCTGTGCTTTCAAACAAATAACACTGATTTTAGGTTACAGACATTCAAATTCACATAACTTTAAGCAAAACATACCATTTAAGGTTTGTAAAATACACACGGATGTTTTTGGATATGGCAATAATAATTATTTTTAAACCCTAAACCCAACCTTCCTGGTAATGTAAAAATATTGTTTGTTGTACAGTGCCACAAAAATGATGCTATATTAACGTGAGTATCCTCAGCTGTATCCCATTTAGCTAATAAAATACTATTAATGCATAATTTAATTTATAATATAAATACTTCTCTTTAACTCCCGATTGCAGCTGTATCCCATCTAGCAACTCTGGCAGCACCCATTACTCCTGTTTAAAAGGAAAAATATATGTTCCATCACATATTTGAGAATGGGAATATCTGAAATTTTCCAATATAATTAAAATATTTGTCAATATTTACAGAAAAGGAAAAAAAGAAGAAAATTCGACATATACATAGATCATGGGGCCTGGTGTGTTGCGTGATCAACTTGACGCGTCACCATGGGAACTTTAGAATGCAATGGATTAACGTAACTAAGTAACAGATGACTAAATTAATTAATGTAATTAAGTACATCACACAAAACCCTTGCAGGAGGGTCAGCTAGAGTATTTAAAACTTACGCTTGACAACGTTAAGGTTTTGGCTGCCTTATACCACATAAGCAATAAAAGCAATAAATACAAGTTAATTAGGGACCGAGCACCAAAACGGTGCATAGGCCCTATTGGAATTGCTCCGTTTTACTATTATTATTATAATTTCGCCCGTAATCGAGGGAATTTTGAGGGTCTAAACATGCTTGAAAACTCATGAAACTTTGCTCACGCCAGACGTGCTGTAAATGGTTATTTGATATGGGACTCGACAGCACCACCTTTGCACTTTTGACGGACTAACCCCCGAGCTTACGAATCGCGCACACATACAAAAATTGGCCACGTGTCAAACATGTCAAAACTTACAAAAACATCAGATTTTTTTAACTTCCTGTGCCGAAAAAGCACAGTTTTTGCCATTTCCAGGCATTGTATTTTAACGAACATCAAATATAGGAATTGTCATCTAAAGGCCTTGGCGATGTTACATTGAGAAGATCTACAGTTTTCGTCGAAGGGTGTGTTCGTGGCGGACTCTCAAACTTTGATGATTTGCCACAAAACAGAAAGTCGTTATAACTCAGGCATGCATTATCCGATCTGCCTCACAATTCACACTTTTGATAACAGTCCTGACCTAAACACGTTTACATGCCAATATCCAGCTACAGTTATAGCGCCACCTGCTGGCAACAGGAAATGACATGTTTTACAATGTAACAAACTCCTCCTACAAATTTTATCACATCCAATCCATGTTCCCGTAGTTAAGTTCCCTTTGTTATGCTAAATTGTGAAGATCTAGACTTTTTGTCGAAGGGCGTGTCCTTGGCAGACTGTGTTTCTCCATAGAGGAGGAAATACTTATAACTCAGCTAAACATTGTCTGATCTGCCTGAAACTTCACATGTTCGATGAGATTCCTGTTCTGAAGACATCTACAAGCTAATATTGAGTCACTGTCATAGCGCCAACTGATGACAGAAGGAAGTTTGGCATAAATCAGTAATTTTCTCAGATTTTTTAAAATATATACTGTATATCGGCCTAAATTATTATTGTTTATTATTCTCTGTCATCCTGAGGCAACCCGGCGGCGTTGAGCCTGGGTGCGAGGTCCCTTTCATTGCTGCTTGCAGCTTTAATTTTAACTTATAATCCCATTAAACATTTCCATCTATTTTAAATTTGATTTTTTTTTTTATCAAAATCGATTACGTAATGTCTTGTTTTCCCCCCTTTTTTTAAATATTTAGTTAAGTAAACCATCCAGACACTAAAGGTATGTTGCGTTCCATACCGAAGCTAGACATCTCAATGCTGGAGATCAGAGGCGATTTGTGATCTTGTTTTTGTGTGTAATTCTGACAATCTTTCACTCTGTCAACGCTCATTAGCATATCAAACGCCACAAATGTTGCTTATTGAAAGTCAAAGGGGCGCCGGCGAAGACACCAAGCATTACCTTTTGCTTATGTATGCGTGTGCGGGTGACCTCTAGAGAGACATTGAAGCGTAATCAATCAGATGCTGTTACTTTTAACTAGCGTGCATCTTTTGATGTATAGCTAAAGATAAAACAATTGGTCCCTGACATCCAGTGCTTCTTTTACACACTGCTGGGCCTGTGTGTGTGTGTGTGTGTGTGTTTGTCATGGGAGAAAAGAGAGAGTCGAAGGGTGGAAAATGAAAGGCTGAAGCTGATGACATTCAAAGTTCATTTACATTCTCTTTGTATAGAGCGTTGGATCTGGTACAAACGCGCAGCAACGACTTATTTCATTCCAGGCCGTGAGAGTTGTTTTATCTTTCCCTGCATGAGGTATATGTGTCTAACTCAGGACAAGCTCTTCGCCGCTCAGCCCTTATTTTCCTGGGACGTCTGACTGTTATCATTAATTCAAGGATTGATACCCTATTGAACAAAACATTTTTGTAGTCTGTCTTTGATTTCGACTCGAGCGCTTTTCCAAATTCTTTCGTAGTGAGAGCAAAGCGAACCAAAACAAAGAGTCTCGTGTTCCTTGTTGACTGTTTTGCTTGTTTTTTCTTCTTCTCTTGTTTCTGTCGTACTTGAGGTAAAATAATAAACATTGTCAAAACACGCTGTTTCTGATAAAAGCTTATTGTTTTCATTTTCAAATCCGTGGAACAATGTTGAGCTTATAAATAGGACCTCTGTCTTTGCTTTGTGCCGTTCGACTTGAAGTTAAACAGTTGCACACTTTAAAATTGAAGGCTTAAAGACTTAAAGGGATAGTTCAACAACAACAAAAAAAGGAATTCTGTCATCATTTACTCACCCTTTATTGTTCTGTTACACACAAAAGATATTTTGAAAAATGCTGCTGACTGCCACAGTATTTGTTTTTCCTATGGTATGGAAATCAATGGTTACTTGTTTTCATCAACAAATCTTCTTTTGTGTTTCACAGAAAAGGAGATTAGAGCCACGTGAGGTAGAGTAAACAATGTTCATATTCATTTTTGGGTGAACTATCCCTTTAAACCGATTTAAGATTAATGAGTACACTGGAATTTATTTATAAGATTTTTATATACTTGTGTGAAGAAACAACTTAGTATTATTTAAAGTATGTAAACACTTGGACAAATATGAATTTAATATGAATAATAATAATAATAATTTAGTGTGTGTGTGTGTGTGTGTGTGTGTGTGTGTGTGTGTGTGTGTGTGTGTGTGTGTGTGTGTGTGTATATATATATATATATATATATATATATATATATACACGCAGTTGAAGTCAGAATTATTAGACCCCCTGTTTTTTTTTCTTCCCCAATTTCTGTTTAACGGTGAAAAGATTTTTTCATCGCATTTCCAAATATAATAGTTTTAATAACTCATTTCTAATTACTGATTTATTTTATCTTTGCCATGATGACAGTAAATAATATTTTACATATATATTTTCAAGATGCTTTGATACAGCTTAAAGTGACAGGTTAGGTTAACTAGGCAGGTTAGGGTAATTAGGCAAGTTATTGTATAATGATGGTTTGTTCTGTTGACTAGCGAAAATATATAGCTTAAAGGGGCTAATAATTTTGTCCTTAAAATTATGTTTAAAAAAATAAAAACTGCTTTTATTCTAACCTTAATAAATCAAATAACACTTTCTCCAGAAGAAAAAATATTATTAGACATACTGTGAAAATGTACTTGCTCTGTTAAACATCATTTGGGAAATATTTAAAAAGAAAAACATTTCAAAGGAGGGCTAATAATTCAAACTTCAACTGTATGTGTGTATGTATGTATGTTTGTATGTATGTATGTATGTGTGTATGTGTGTGTTTGGTAAACTTTGGTATACTTTTGGTAAACTTTACAAGTTGCATTGTGCGTAAATCATCTAAACAGTTGATCAATATTATTAATAACATTAATATAAAAACTGAATAAATATATATTTGCACACAATTGCATAAGTAATTAAATGGATGGAACGCTGTGCTCAAAATTCTGCAGAAATCTAAAAGGTCTGAGTCAAAGATTTTTTCAAGGCCTATTGATGGGTAAATTATAAACTATTTACAAAGTGATGTATGGATGTTCACTTGTTACATATTACACACACTAAATATTTCCAAAATGATGTGCAACAGACAAAGACATTTTTCACAGTATTTTCTATATTGTTTCTTCTGGAGAAAGTCTTTGTTTGTTATATTTTGGATAGAATAAAAGCAGTTTTAAAATATTGACCAT